GAAAAAATGAGATGGAAAAATATGTATATATAAAGGATCGAAATTCTTCTATCTTCATAAAATAAATCCTAGAATATTTAAAAATTTTTGAAATGTCACAAAGAACTTTAATTAGCTTTTATCAAAAAAAAAACAAAAAAGAGATAAAGATAGAATTTCTAGTCTTTTATCTGGAAGATCAAGTTTTACTAAAGTAAAAAAAAAGATTTCGGCACAAGCAGTATTTACTCTGGCAACAGAATCAACATTAAGGATAGAAATCGTGATTACGAACTCGCGATTAATCGCGAGTCAACTATATATTCGAGTCAAATTTTTGGTGAACAATTAATCGCAATTTTCATAATCGTTAAAAATCGCTAATTAAATTGCGATTTTATAATCGCCAATTAAATCACGATTTTCTAATTACCAATTAAATCACGATTTTCATAATCGTTTATATTAATTTAATTATCAATGATAATCAAATTAATATATATAATTTTAAAAAAAAATTTTTCTTTTATTAAACTATAAGTGATAATGAACTATACGTATATATAAAACCTTTAGAAAAGGTTCCTGCCATCGAAACAGTTGAAAAAAATGCCACTACAAAAAAAAGAGGAAGAAGGGTAGGAGGAAAAAATTATGAAGTATATAGAAAAAGAGAAGGAGAAGTGATAGGAAAAAAAAGTGTTAAAAGAGTGAAGCTAAGAGATGAGAGGGATGAAAGGGACGAGAGGGATGAGAGGGACAAGAGGGACGAGAGGGACGAGAGGAATGAGAGGAGTGAGAGGGACGAGAGGAGTGAGAGGGACGAGATGGAAGAGAGGGATGAGGTGAAAAAAAATAGAGAAAATGCCAATTCTGGAATCATCGAAATCGCTAATGCCAAAATCGCTGAAATTACCATCAGGGAAAGGGAAAGGGAGAAGTGAGAAAGGAAAGGAGTAAAAGAACAAGAAGAAATATTGGAAAGGGGAAGGAAAAAAAAGGAAAGGGAAAACTCTGAAATTGTCAATGTTAAAATTGTTGAAATCGCCATTGTCGAAATTGCTGTCACCGCCATTACCGTCGCTGAAAAAGAAAGGGAGAAACAAAATAGGAGAGAAACAAAAGAGGACAAAAGAGAACAAGGAAGAAACAGGGAGAAAAGGAAAGAGAAGAGAGAATGTATGAGAAAATAGATAAGAAAATTGAAAAAAAGAGTCTAGAAGAAGAAAAAAAGAATAATAACAACAAAATCATCACGGGGGTCTAGTACGAATATTAAAGGGGGAAGAAAGGAAAAGAAAAAGCAGTAGAATATGAAGAAAATAATGTTGAAAATGTAGAAACCACTAATTTTCTAGATGAAATTTTTAACAATAATTCTCATGAAAATGATTTTTATGAAAATGATTTTTTTGAAATGAATTCATCAACAAGTGAAGAACAATTACCTATTGCTTCAACTTCATCAAGTAAGAATGTACAAGTTTCAAAAAAGAAATCAAAGGATAGAAATATTGGAATGCAATTCTCTTTTAGA